GCTTTTTACCAGGCCAAATCAGCAACGCTGAATCTCTTGGAGCTAATTTGCCCTTTTCTACAACATGTTCCTTTTGTGCTGGGCTTTAGCAGCAAAATTATCACAGGGAAGGAACTTGTGCTGTTCCAAGAGCCCAACTTCAAACAAAGTACCTTGGTGATTTCCTATCTTGCGCTTGACCCCCAAATAAAAAAAAAAAAGTAACTTTATGTAATACATGTATTCTTTGCAAAGTATGCTGACTACATAAACTGAAAGAGGAAAAATTATGGATAACTGATTCAAAGAGGATGGAGGCAGATATCCATATCAAGTTCCATGAAACTTTCAATTGGAGAAAAATTATGAAAGCTAGTGATGAATTTGGAATGCAATATGTAGTTCATCAGAAGGCATTTCCTATTTCCTCTGTGAGCAATTTCCACAGCATATGTTGGGATTCATCTATTTTTGACAGATGTTCTGGTCTTGTGGCAAAATATAAAATTAAATCACTTTTAAGGCTCTGTCAACATTAAACTAAATTCACCTAATGGAATACCTTTCTTAATGCACTTTGGGCAGCCAGCAGCTCATAAATATGTACAACTGCACAATCCTTTTTTTTTTTTTTTTGCAGTTCCAATTCCAGAACACCTCTCATAGTGTGTTGCCAATGTTCATCAGAAGCCAAGTTTAACCTGAAGAAAACATTTACTTTCAACTTGTTTTATTAGAAATATCTTTAATGTACAGTCATGTATAGTGTTTTTCTTTAGAGTTAAAGAACATTATTGGAGTATTGGAGTATATCTATTAGTGAGATATTCATTTGCATTATGTTTTAATAGAATGACAAGTATTTTGAGAATGTTATATATGGAGATGCTTAGATGTTATTAGAAGTATCAAGAAATTAATCTGTGACTGTCTCCATTATTCATTTCTTTATTACAAAAATCTCTGTAAAAAACCTTTCAGAAGACATAAAGTTAGCATATTTTTCTTCAGACAGCTAAAGTACATAAAATTGAAGTTTGAAGCTCTCATGTGTCTGCTTATTGATATTCTTATAACTGCCAAGGCTGGTTTTAAAATTCTTTATTAAGAGATTTGCCCCACATAGAAACATAATGTTTGTTAAAAATTAAGGAATTTTATTTGTACATATTGTTGCAGGTTTAGAGTGATGCAAAACTAAGTTGTACCTTCAAACTGGGAAGCCAACTAACATTAGCTCATATCAGTGTCTCTGAATCGATTGTAACATATTTATATTCTGTTAACACAATTGAAAACATTTTTAAAATTATTTTAATTACTGTTAATTTTTTGCAGTGAGTGGATGGAATTTCAAACATATCAGTCAAATAAAGTGTTGGTTTGAATAATATAAATTATTGCAGCCTTTTTCTTTCTTTCTTCTTGTGACAACACAGGATCACAAACATCTGACAGTTGTTTATCAAAAGAACTGTGGTTTAATGTACAATATGAAACAACAACATTCAGGGAGCATATAGAATACAAGGCAGTCAGTTATTTACAAACTGTTCAAGTGAGCTCAAGATTCCAACTGTCATTCCCCTCAGACATAGTCTCTTAAAGCAGTGGTTCTCAACCTGTGGGTCGGGACAGGTTTGGGGTCGAACGACCATTTCACGGGGGTCGCCAAACAAGGCTGTCCGCCATTTTTTTCCCTTCTCTTTGGCCATGCCCCTGGCACCCGGTGATGTATAAGTGGTTGGGGGTCACCACAACATGGGGAACTGTATTATGGGGTCGCGGCATTAGAAAGGTTGAGAACCACTGTCTTAAAGGGACACTACCCTTAAAATGTTCTGCTGACACATTCTCCACACATCACTTCTGCCGATCAGCTTCTAAATTATAATTACCTTGACATAAAAGTATGTATCTTTAGGTGGGGAAAATACAGTTTCACATCTGAGGTGAAAGAGGTTATGAGTATTTTATTCCTGATGCTTGCACTTGGCATAAATATATTATATTATTTTAAATGTCTTAGTCTAAATAAGGCTTGCAACATATTTTATATTTTCAATCCATTCCCATTTAGCTCTGGATTGCCAATGCCAAAGGTAACATATTTTGAAAAATGAAGCTTTAATGAAACTGTCAAAGTGTAGTGTTAAGTCTAGGTGATTGCCAACAGAAATTTCAGAGAATATGTCATTGGGATAAATTAAACAATGTTGGCTTATTAGTATTAAGAGTATTTATAAAAAATTCTAACACTATTTATCCATGTCTTATCCAGTAACCTGCTAGAAATATCTAGGAAGAAATATCTATTCCTCCTCCCTCCCTCCCTCCCTCTCTCCCTCCCTCCCTCCCTCCCTCCCTCCCTTCCTTCCTTTCTTTCCTTCCTTCGTTTTCTTTCTTTCTTTCTTTCCATTCTGGTGAAGCTAATGTTATTCCTCTTAAACTGGTAGCCTATTTCCTTTGTTTGCCATTTCAAAAATGACTGGGCCATTTTTAAAACAGATTCATATGAATGCCAATATTTATAAAATTGTATGTGTCAAAAGCTTGATTCAGCATTAACTGTGGTGAATGTTTCTCCATGAAGTGTGTCTCTAATAAATACAAAGTATTTTTTTTTTTAAAAAAAAAACACCCTCCCAACTGTTGCTAAATACTTTCCAGGCATACCATTAGGGAGCCAAAACTATCCATAATGTAAGTCTAAAACACACTACATTTTAAAAAAATGTAGAAAGAAAAACTATATAAGAATTGATTTACTTTTTTGGAGGATATGTATACACCTGCCAGAATCACAAGGGTATGGGAGTCTTAACATTACAATAAATTTAAGGAAACAGTGACTACTTGAACTGAGACTACAAAAAGGCCTGAATTTTGGATTTTGAAGTAGTTATATGCCTATTACAAAAGACTCCCAAAACAGTGAGATAGTCTTCATGAATCAAAGAAGAGAGGTTGTTTTGCTTATTTCCAAAGGAAGGAAGGTAGAACTGAAAAATTATTTGTTGAGAAAGTTGAAAAACTATATAGGCTCCAGACTATTAGTTGCATTTGGCTCCCATTGAAAGCAATGAAGTTTAAGATGTTAGATTTCAAATCCAATACCACCTCATATGTTAGTCACACATATTCCATGAGTGGAATATGTGTGAGTAACATTTGAGGTCTGTGGAAGTCGTATTGACTAGATAGAAAGACTAACTTAGAATTGATGGAGGAGGAGAAAGAGAAGGAGGAGGAGGAGGAGGAGGAGGAGAAACAATAACAACATTACAAAGAGAACACAGGATTGAAATGGTTTTTTTCTCCAGCATCATTTATACTGGGAGTAGGCTGCATTTTGCACAAGTGAACACAACTGGAATTTTGAGAATATATTACAAGTTTCCCAATGAAATGGCCTCCCAACAGTTAATAATTATGATATCCTTGCTAGTTGTTTGTGACAAATCAAAAAAGAAACATATGTGACTTAATTTTTAGACTATAAAACACAAGAGATTTATTGAAATCTTCAACAACTTATTACAGAACAAAATGAATTATGAAGCATATAAACCAACATTCTTCGGTATTGTACTTGCTTTTGTATCCTACAAGGTGAGATTAACTGTGTTTATCAATACTTGGTCTGTGAAAATTATGAGTATGACCCAGTTGTTTATCTCAACCAACTAGCTCTCAACCAACTAGCCAAGAATGTTGTCAAATGCCTGGAGGCTATTACGGGTTGGAAACTGGGGGGGGGGGGGCTGGAGAAGAATAGGCTCTGGTTCTTGGGCTACTCTGCTTAGGCAGTGGCTGAATGGGGCTGAATGGGGCTGCGTTTTTCTATTAAGGGCTGGTGCCCAATGTGAGGGGCTTCCTAGCCTCTCAGCTCCTGTTTAAGGAGCAAGTAGCATTTATGGCCAGGGAAAACGTTTGCACAGATCCATCTTGTGTGCCAGTTTTGCCCATTCTTGAACCTCTTTACAGTCATTCATGCCTTAGTCATCTCTTCTGTAGACTATTCCAAAGCACTCTACATTGGGTTGCCTTTGAAGATCCCTTGCAGGTCTGGCAATGCAAGTAGTGATGGACAAATAGTGTTCTGCTAATCTCCTTCAGGTTTTGTCAACTGCAAGTTGCATGGTTACTTATAGGTAGTGATTATCATTTATACAGCATTACATTACATTACATAGGGCCTAATTATCTAAGAGATCATACATTCCTATGGTTTCTTTCCACTACTTACAATCAGAGTTGTATCCTCTGGATTCCAGTAATTAAATTGTCATCTAGCAGGATTTGAGAAATGTGCCTTCTCTGTTGCAGCACTCACCTTCTGCAACAGCAACCCACCAGAGATTTGAACTACTCTTATTCTGCCTGCCTTAAATGAGTCTTGAAAACATGGCTCTTTCTCCAGGTCATAGGCTAGGTTGATTGTCAGACCCCTTTGAGTTGGGTGCTAAGTGAGAAAGAGGGTGTTCATTGTCCCCTCTGGGGACAATTTTTGATTTTTGATGTTATGATGTCTCTTCCTTTTTTAATTTATAAACAACCCAGATTAGTTCTGAAGTCAGGCTACCTTAGAACTATATTTTGTAAAAAACAAGTATTTTCTGTATAATTTTCATGAATGTATACATTTCTGTATAAATATTTTTATAGATTAAAATACATAATTGATGTATTCAGATTACAAAATATGAACAATTGAGAATTTCAAATACAATTCAAGTTTCATTTTGTGAATTGGCTCAAAAATGTGAAAGTGGGTGTTTTCTTCTTTTTAAAAAAAATACAGCACAAGCACACTGAGTCATACCTACATTATTTATTTATAACTCATTCTAACTGGATGTTTGCATCAAAATCAAGGCAATATTTATTTAGGCATTGAGATGTTTTCATAATGTAAAGGAAAGACATAAAACAGAACATAAGATGGAGAGCAGGGTGGTTGTGTGAATGTGATTAAACCTAGTAATTCTACTATTGTTTTACAGCTGTAGTTGTACGCATCAGAATCCAGTTAAAACCTTGTTATGTGCATGGGATGTTTTTGAAGTTTCTTCCCCTGCTTTTAAGTATCACTTAGGTCTGGATCGGTGAGTCTTCCCCCAAAAGAAGGCATGACAGAGCAAGTCAAGAACATTACCGGAATATTAGTAATTGCCTCCAACTGGCACTGAGTTGAGAACTTTTAAAATAAGGAGAGGTTGGCCAACACTACATTCCAGTGCATGTCAAAAACCGAGGGAGAAAGGACTATGCCTGCAAGATCCCAGCTACGCACCTAAAAGACAAAAACGCGAAGGACTCTCCTCTCCCCAGCAGGATCCTTAAGCGCTCCTACTGCTTGGCCAGAATTAAATACTTCACTAACCCAGAACCCAGTGACGTCACTCCAGCTCCGGCCACACAGTACTGTAGTAGCGCGTCCCGGGTCGTCCTCTCTCTGCCTCCACACAATCTCCAGCCAAGGCTGCTCGCTCGTCAGACAAGCGGAGGCAGCGCCCCGACTGCTACCTTCTGAGCCGAACTGCCTCCAAGAAAGGCCCAACCTCTTTTTGCCTTCCCTCGGTTCTTTCTGCATCTTTCAAGCGGAGCTGCTCTTGCTGACGAGGCTAAAAGAGCCAACTGCCTTCCCTGCCGCCGCCGGCGCCGCCGTCTCGTCTCCCATTCCCTTTTCTGGCTAGGCTGGCGTTCGAGACCGAACAGTTTCCCCGTCAGGGGGCGACGCAGCTAACTAGTACTAGAGAGTGAAGAGAGGAGAGAGAGAGAGGGAGGAGTAGGAAGAGCCTCTGAAGGCGGGCGCTCCTGGGTGACAAGCAGTCACAGGTGCTGCGGCCGCCTTGAAACACAGGAGAGGCGCCTCCGTGCCCCAACCAGCTGCTGCTGTCGCCGTCCCTGCCTGCCTCCGGGTGGCAGCTGCCGCTGCCGTTCCTGCTGCTGCTGCTGCTGAGCCGGCGCGTGCAGGAGTATAGCGAGAGCTCGGCAACTGCGCACACGCGCGCGCTCGGGAAAGCCAGCGATCAAGGGGAGAGCGAGCGAAAAAGCCTTGCGCTTCGGCGGAGCCTGTAAGTTGCTGGAGCTGCTATTTTTGCTGGACCAGCAGCGGCTTCGGTGCAACTGGCTCTTTGCAAGGCGCGACTGTCCCTTGGATGTGTGTGTGTGTATATACACAAACACACACACACATATATATTGTTATATATTTTCCGCCGCTTTGGTGTTGCCGCGCGCTGTCGCTCAATCGCCAGAGAGAAAGGGCGAGCTCGCGCGCCTACCGCAAACGGGGTTCAAGACATGGCAAGACGCTGACTGACTGGCTGGGAGGGACGAGGACCAGACGGGTACTCTCTCCCGCCCCTCAGCCCCATCCGGCCTGGTAGGATTTGATTTTTGACAACCCCACATTTTTCTTTGGCGCGTGCTACCGAGAACGAGGAGGACACGGGGAGCCGCCCAGTGCTGTAGGATGGAGGTTGCTTTGTGTGCGAGATCGGTGGATTCTGACGTTGGGGATAACGGGAGGGACTTGGCAGGTGGTGGGGAACCGAGTTAGAAATTAGCTGAGGCGATACCAGAGGGGGGGGGGAGGCAGGCTAGGTGTGGAAAGAAAGAGTCTGTAGCAGAATAAGCACGAATTTTGCATAGGTAGCCATGGAAGATGTATTGCCAGAATGTGCTTGCTCGCTTGGTGTTCTTTAGCCGTATTTGATTTCATCTAGAGGGCACGTGGTTGGGAATGGCTACACTATTTGTTCACAGTCTGATGGAGAGGTCTGATAATTGTGTTTGTGTATGTAGTTTTCCAAACCACACTTCCATTTGTGGAGCTAATATGCACTTTTCAGGTCCAGATTTATAATGTCTTGTGACAGCTGATGGTATCCAGAAAAGAAATAAAATGAGTGACTTACTGAGAGATAAGGAGTCTGAGGTAATATGTATTGTCCACACTATCTTATTTGAAAATTCCAAGAGCTTAGTTAGGAGTTGTAATCTGAAAGAGACTGGTTAAAATAATCTAGGATGGCTTTAAACTGGGAAAAGATATATTGCGCCATAATATGATGAGTTTTGTTTTTGCCTCTCATGATGCGTGAACTCAATAATAACATTGGACAAGAAATTATTTGTTTAGAATTCTGTGTGAACCAAGTCATAGTTCAACAAACCTGGATTGGAGAAGGTAATTTAGTTGGTAATATATCTGTAAATTAGTTACCAGCCACTATGCTGTGAAGTGCTAAAGACCAGCATTTATGCTTTACATGCTTAATATGGATGACAGTTCCCACTGCAGCACAACTGCTTTTCTATAATAAAAAAGAACAAATATGAGAGAATTTTATAACAAATTTTACTAAGAACCCAGGGAACATTTTCATCCCTGTTTTGAACATTTTAATCATCTTCAAATGGACAAAACTGTTGATGTCTTTTGAAAGATATCATGCAGGAGGCCACTGTTATATAGTGCTGCAGTTTCTTGGAATACCGGTATATGCAGTATACTTTTTCCCTAGGTTTGTTCCATTCTCACAGCATGGAGATGTCGGATTGATGTGGAATTCTTATTTTTTAACCATCTGAGGAGGGAAAAAAACAGAGTTATTTTTGCGTCCTGACCTCACTTGCCAACTAGATATTCCTTGCAAATCTACATTACAGTTCTTTCCTTCAAAAATCTTTTATTGAATTTTTTAAAAATCCACACTGTAATTTTTGAAAGAGTATTTGCCCTCTTTCTTTTTTTAACTCTGGATTTCTGGGTGGACAAGTTTAAAAATAAATGTCTGCTCAAACACTGGATTATTGTATAGTCGAGCAGCTGTGACCTTAACTGCCTCAAAGGAAAAGACAGAGAGCACAGAAAATTGAAAGTGAGCACATGGTCCAAATCCTGTAAGATAAAACTGCAAGCTCATAAACATATTTCTTCAGCTAAAGGAGCTGTCACATATTTTTTTCAACCCTGCTGTGAAGGTGGATATTAATTTGAAAAGAAGTTTGAAATGAAAGGGGGTGTTGCCTTAGCTGAGTTCTGCTCACTGTTCTTTTCATGGGCTTCGTAGTTACGATATTTCTTGTTTGTATTTTCAGCTGTTACTTAATGGCATTTAAAAAAGTGAAGCTTGGATTCATTTGTCCTTAAATATCAATGTAAAATATTCATAAGCTAAGATGGAGCCTTTATCTTTTGCTTTCTATCTTGTATTAACAACATTTGCAAGCGGAACTAATAGTCAAGAGAGGCTCATGAAACAGAAGTGTCCTGGAAAGCTCCTGAATAGATAGCTATTCTGCTTCTAGAAAAAAAGAGATCCTACTCAGTGATCATGCATTACAGCATTGCAAATGCTGCCCAGAGTTGCTTCTTGTGGGATGGATGGTCATATAAATGCGATTAATAAAATAAAAATAAATAAATAGCTATTAAAAAGCTATAAAGCCTATCTTTCTAGGTATTTGTGCTACTGCCAGAAGACATCTGATTTGAGACTTTGGAAAGTTTCTTGAAAAATATAATCCCACAGGTGAGGCTTGAGCATTAGAGGGATGACCTTGGTAACTTTTTATTACCAATGTGGCAAATAAAGGGTGCGCTTGAACCTCATAACTGGACTGGTATAAGAATGAAGATGGTCCTACAGCAAGTACAGCAATCTAGAGGTAGCTTGGACAGTAATGGAAGAACCCTGGATTTCTAATTCAGCAGTACTGAATTAGATCAAGTTTCTTATCACTGTTATATAAGAATGCTGGGACCTGGAACATTAAGAGTAGGGACTTGTGACACTCCAGAGAGCATCATCTGTAGAACCCAATGGGTTCATCAGAATGACTAAATTAGCATTGTGCCTCAAGGTTCTATCCCTTATGAACATTAGAGACAATGTATATATAAAAGGCTGAGGCTGAGGTTGCATCACAATGTTGCAACTTTCATCATGTGCCTTCTAATGGATGGCCTATATCTTTAGCAGTTCTCAAACATTTTGTTTTCAGAACTCCTTTACATACTTAACAATGATTGAATTTTGGTTTATATGGGTTATATGATCTACCACTAGGGTAGGTATTACTGAATTAGAGATTAAAACTGAGAAATGTCCGCATATTTATTTGACTTTGTAGACTCTTGAAAGAATCTCAGATACCCCTCAGGGAACTGCTGCACTAGATCTTAGCTGAGGCTTTGGGGAACTGGAATTCAGCAACCTCTGACAGTCACAGGATCTTCATTCCCAGTTTATTGAATCCCATACATTAACTGAGTAGGAACGTACAATACTTCATTTTATCTGTAGCATTTTACTATGTGTCATCTGAAAAATAATTATGTGTGTTCTTAAAGCTGGCTGTGATCTTCTTGCATCTAGGTTTAACCCTATATTTTTTCCAAGTTTGTAACTGCTTTTAGATGCAGTATTTTACTATGTTAATTATAGATGGGATGCAGCAATTAAATTGTCAAGAGTGTCATCTTGTCAGAGTGTGGGTTAATTTTATTCAATCGCCTGTAGCAATTTCCCTACATTCACTCTCTGTTCTTGACAATTTAGTAACTAGGCTTGTATTTATAGAGATGGCAAACACATTCATACAAATGGCTCTGAATTGGAGGCTGTCAGTTAAAACAGAGGGTAGGAATAATAATGCATCTGGTAGATGGATCATTCTGGGCTCTTAAAGGAATATGTCAATTCAATTGTATATGCGGGTCAAGACTTGATCTGCTTTATTAGATGTATCTATTCTTCCATGATTCATCATTGTCCATCATAAAGGGCAAAATCAAATTTTAATTTGATGTTCAAGCAAAAGAATAAGAAGTTTCAATAATAAATTTTAGAAAAAAATAGTTGACAGAATGTTATTGTCCATAGTCATCTAAACTGATTGGAATTATTCATCTTCATAGACTCTAGCCATTTAAAATCTTTTATATGCTGAGTTTAAGTATGTTTGCTTATAAAGACTGTCAACCCTTCACAAGATACTGTGCCATAGTTCTCAATACAATAAGTTTGAAGAAAATCAGTAGATTAATGCATTAATCAGTTAGGCAATAATGTTCAGAAAGAGAGGGAATGGCAGCTGTGAAGATAGTAAAGCATTATAAATGACTCATAGTAGTCTTCCTCTGTTTATGCTCGCTGGATAGGTTGAGCCCTATATCTCCAAAAATCCCCAAGTAGCATGGCCAGTGGCTGTAATTATTGAAAATGTGAGTCCCATGATAGCAATTGAAGAATGCTATCCTGTAATAGTGGACTCTGTGAACCCTAGCAAAGAACATATGTTTGGGACAAATGTATGTGATTTTTATTCCAGATTTATTAAAGGAACAATAGTTTTTAAAATTATTTTTGGCCTGCATCAGGAAAGAATTAATTGAAATACAGGGAGCTGTATATGGATGATCATAAAGTATCCAGGGTGTCCACAGGAAGGCAGGGGCTGTGGTCTGCAAGATGGCATGTACAACATCAAAATCGAAGCCCTGCCTCTTTTGTGTATGCAGGTAACATTACTACAGGTACAAAAGTGTTGGAGCTTAGATTGTGCAATTATGTCTATCTTCCTTTTGCAGATTTTGACAAACTCCACCTTCACAGATGCCACCGTAAACTATATACTGGCTGTATTCATCCTGAATCCTTAATAGCCTTTTTATTCAAATGTGGGGAATGAATTTCATCTGTATACAGTAGTTAATTTATGGCTTGCATTGTACAAATCTAGAAAATTGGATTCATTAAATACAGTTAAACCATGATTTGTTTAATTATGGGTAAATATGTTGCAGGGACACAACTTATTTATCATGCTGGTATGTTCTAATGCCTTGAAATCCTGTCAAAAATAATTAGAGTAGCCTAAGGAAAGGGATTGAGGGCTATATGAGGGCCTTATATCTGGAGCAATGAATGGTCCTAACTTTCAGTTCACACTGAACTGAAGAGGATGATTTGCACCAGCAGAATGGAAGAAAATAAACCTTAAGTCAAGAGGTCTTTTTAAACCAATCAAATTTGCTACTGTTTCAATAGGAATAGCAATAGCACTTATATACCACTTCATTATGTATGGCTGTGAAAGTTGGACCATAAGAAAGGCTGAGCGCCAAAGAATTGAGGCCTTTGAACTATGGTGCTGGAGAAGACTCCTGCGAGTCCCTTGGACTGCAAGGCGTTCAAACCGATCAGTCCTAGAAGAGATCAACCCCGACTGCTCCTTAGAAGGCCAGATCCTGAAGTTGAAACTCAAGTACTTTGGCCCCCTAATGAGAAGGAAGGATTCACTGGAGAAGAGCCTAATGCTGGGAAAGATGGAGGGCAATAGAAGAAGGGGACGACAGAGAATGAGATGGCTGGATGGAGTCACTGAAGCAGTAGGTGTGAACTTAAATGGACTCCAGAAAATGGTAGAGGACAGGAAGACCTGGAGGAACGTTGTCCATGGGGTCGCGATGGGTCGGACACGACTTTGCAATTAACAACAACAGCAACAACCACTTCATTGTGCTTTACAGCACTCTCTGCACAGTTTACAATGTCAGCATATTGCTTCCAACAATCTGGGTCCTCATTTTACCAATCTCGGAACGGATGGAAGGCTGAGTCAACCTTGAGCCCCGTCAGGATCAAACTCCAAACTGTTAGCAGAATTTATTTCCAACATTGCATTCTAACTACTGAGCTATCAGGGCTCAAAGTTATGTTCTACTACAGTCCAGCTGAATTGAGGCAATGTATATATTTCATAAAGAAATAAATGCTGTAAAAGCTTTAATATCACACTAACTATAGCACCAAGAAAGTATATCAAAAATCTGAAATAAATTTACTAGCTTTGAAAAAAATGAAAGTATTTTTCCTTCATTCTTTGAGTTGCTATTTAGTGGTAGGAAACAATAATTCGTTCCATGGTTCCTCAACATTTGTCATATAATAATAGGAGATGAAAGAGTAAAGCAATTTATAATTGTTTTCATGTTTGGGAAGTACTGGAATACAGCAGTGATGAAAGCAAGAAAATTTAAACGAACCTAAACACATTAACTTAAGAACTCTATCCTTGCTAATTAAAATCAACAAATTTTAAAATATGTATGTTTAGGGAGGCAACTGAGTTGAATAACCATGGTTGAGTTAATTCTGCGAACAGATTTTATTTGGGAGCCAGCCAGAAAACGTTCTTCTTCCTCTTATAACTGCTACATTATAATACATGGAACAATTCTGTCGTCCTTTCTGGAGTCCTAGCTAAGTGGAATGTAGAAGTGCCCATTTTAAATATGATTATAGTGAATCAAATTACTTCTTTGCCAACTTAATTGCTATCTTTGTATTTTCAGAGGCTAGAAAGGGGGAGCTTCACTCAAGGAAGGTGTCAAAGAATTCCCAAAATCGCAGACATGGATATCTTTTAAACATGGTTAATCAATCAGTAAAGAAATACAATGTAAGAGTGTAATCTTAGTAAGTAGTGGATATGAAAACAGTATCACAAGATTTTTGTTTGATTGTTTTTAGTAAACTATTTGGTAAGGGAATTTTTTCTGCAATTCCTGTCATGTCTA